AAATTCCTGTTATTATTTCTAAGTATTTATTTTACCTTTTTATTAATGTGGATATTTGCAATGTGTGTGTAAATGTTCACAGAGGTCAGAAGAGAGTCTCAGATGCCCTGGTGCTAGAGTTACAAGGTTGTGAGTTTCCCAGTGTGAATGCTTGGGTCAAACTCAGGTCCTCTGGAAAAGCAGGGAATGCTCTTAACTACTGAACCATCTCTCCAGCCCCAAAGTTCCTGTTTCTGTTAATCAGCCATTTTCAGGTACTGTGTTATAACCCACAAAACGAACTGAGGACCTACCTACTCTATGTTCAGTCATTCTTTACACATGTCCAACATTCTCAGCAAATGTATTGAACGTTTAGGTTGATGCATTTTCCTGTTCTAGATTTCTCTTTGCTCTGAGTTCTACTGCACATCTTTCCTTGCTTTTCTGGAAGCAGGCTCCAGGCCTTGTACACGCTAGATGAGTGCTCCGCCACTTAAGCCACTTGCATCTGCCGTGTAGCCTGTTATAGTTTGTAGTTCAGGAACTTCAAACATGTCTTTTATATCTCAGAACACAGTAAGCACAGCATTTTGAAGTCTGTGTATCACTCTAATGTTTGAATTTTAAGGATTTTGGGGTCCAATTCCATGCTTTTTTTGTTCTTGGTGCTTTTTTTTTTTTTTTTTTTTTTTTTTTTTAAAAAAAAAAAAAAAAAAAAAAAAAGAGGACGATAAATCTTTCACTGTGATATATCAAAATAATTAATTTTTTTTTTTTCAGGATGGGAAGGAAGTTATTCTTTACTACAGATAGGCCCCTGGACTGGGCTAACCTGCTCCAGAGAACCAGAGGCTTGCTGCTTCTTTTTAACTTGTGTTTTTATTTTCTATATTGTTAGCTTTGATTAGGCACTGGCCGTGATATTTGGGGAAAAAGAAGCCGATATCCTTGCTTCTTTAGAAGTGGTATCAGAGTTTTTCACTGGCCTCTGGAGATGCTGCTCCACTAGGGCCACTGAAATGCATGTTTAAGGCTTGAGTATTTTCTGGACTACCCTCATGTGAGGAATGGGGTCTATCCCTGAGCTACTGCCACCCCCTGCGGGTAGCCACGTACACTTGTTGCAGTTGGGGGGACAGTAAAACCTATTTTTGCTGTAATTATTTCATGACGAAAGCAGCTTGGAGTGCCAGGGCTCATGGTGTTGGGGCCCTGGCTGCCTTTCTATTCTGATTACTTTGCCTTTGCATGCCTTCGAGTCTCTTGTACTAGTTCGTTTCCATTTTGTAATGTCCCCTGTAAGGGCCATCTTGTTTGTGTACCTTTCCATAAACCTTACCTTCAGTTTGGACTTGAATATCTTCGTGTTTGTTTGCTTTTGTAGGATCTGCATTAAAACCACTTTAAGATTCCATCTTACCCTAATCAGACTGGCTAAGATCAAGAGAACAAATGATACCAAATATTGGAGGGGATGTGGGGGAAAGGGGAACACTCATCCACTGCTGGTGGGGCTGCAAACTTGTTCAACCCTATGGAAAGCAGTGTGGGGAACACCTTTGGTTGAACACCTTTTAAGATGCTTCTTAGCCATTTTTATTTCTTCTTTTGAAACTCTGTTTAGCTCCTTAGCCCATATTTTAATTGGGTTGCTTCCTTTCTTGATTCTTTGTTTTTTTTGAGTTTGTTATATATTCTGGATGTTAAACCTCTGTCAGATGTATTGCTGGTGAAGATTTTCTCCCACTCTGTGTGTTTTTTCTTCACTTCCTTGGTTACTTCTTTTGATGTACAGAAGCTTTTTAGTTTAATGAGGTCCCATTTGTTAATTCTTGACCTTGTTTCCTGAGCAATAGATGTCCGGCTTAGAAAATCCTTTCCTATACCTATATCTTGTAGGTAATTGCCAATGTTTTCTTCTAACAGTTTCAGAGTTTCAGGCTTCACATTGAGGTCTTTGATCCATTTGGAGTTAACTTTTATGCAAGGTGAAAGATAAGGGTTTAGTTTCATTCTTCTACAGGCGGAGATCCAGTTTTGCCAGCACCATTTGCTGACCATGCTGTCTTTCCTCCAGTGAATGTTCTTGGCCCCTTTGTCAAATATCAGGGGGCTAAAATTGCGTGTACTCAAATTTGGGTCTTCAATTTTGTTCCATTGATCTTATGGGTCTATTTTTGTGCCAGTACCATGTTGTTTTTATGACTATAGCTCTGTAGTAGAGCTTAAAATCTGCTATAGTAACCCCCCCAGCATTGCTCTTAGTGCTCAGGGTTGTTTTGGCTATCCGAGGTCTTTTGTGCTTCCATATGAATCTTAGGATTTTTTTCCAATTCTGTGAAGAATGTCATGGGGATTTTGATTGGCATTGCTTTGAATCTATAAATGGCTTTTGGTAGGATGGTCATTTTCACAATATTAATTCTTCCAATCCATGAGCATGGGAGGTCCTTCCATCTTCTGATGTCTTCTTCAATCTCTTTCTTTAAAGATTTAAAATTTTCATTGTAGAGGTCTTTAATGTCTCTCTATTGATTCTCTGTCCTGCTCACCTATGTAATGAAGACAATGGGGTATTGAAGTTCCCTACTATTAATGAGTTGGGATTAATCTGGTTCTTAAAGTCTTATAGTACTGTTTTAAGTTTTCCTTGAAATTATCCTTTATCTCAGGAACTGTTTAGAATTGTGCATCTTTATTTCCATATGTTTGGAAACATAAATATACATATAATTTTCTTTCATGCCTTTATGTAATTGCAGTTTATATTATACATGATAGGAACACACATTAAATGCCTGTTTGATGATGTTCAGTAAGTTCTCTGAATATCATAAGGCTTGTATGTAACAGTTCTTACTGTTTTGCACTCGTAGAGGGACTAATACAGAGACCTGTGTTCAGGAGGTGTTCACAGAGATGGACAGTGGGCAGTCTGTGAATACCCAGCATACAGTCAATTCTAGCACAGCAGTCAAGGATCCAGGGAAACCAGCACCAGTAGCTGGCCAAAACAGGAAGGTGGAAAGATGGGGGATGTTCTGGTGTCTCCTGTGTAGTTCTAATGACAACCTTCTGTCCCAGTGTCAAACCCTGGCTTGTGTACTTTATGACTTTGAGATTCTCTTTTGGCACGTTGTGAAGAACCTGCATTCAGTTTCATGCTAAAGGATTGCAAGGGGACAGCAGTATTTATCATGAATTTTATGATTCTTTCCTCATGTGTGAGATTTTACTGTTGTTTGTTTAGAGACTAAGAACATATCTTAAGCCCTCCGATCTTTTAAACACCCTTAATACGTGTCTAGGAGTTTGGTCTTTGGAGTGAGTTAAGACAGAGGACAATCTAAGTAAGGATTTTGCCATGAAAGGTAGCACTCATCCTTCAGAGGACTAAGATGAGGCTCAGAAATGAACCACTGTTGTGCAGTCTTAACCATCATGTATTTGATTAAATGAGTTCAAAGACAACGGGTTTGCACAGAAGGCATCTGTAATGATGTCAGAGCTGAGGATTCAGGAAATGGCCCAGTGTCTTCTACACATTCTTTGCAGGTTTGGAAGGGCTTAAGAGAAACCCATGATCTGTCCTGAGAGCTAGTCCTAGTCCTCCTCTGTCCTGAGCCTCCTGTGACACCCATGTTTAATGAAGGCCAAGGACTGGCTGATGAACAGACTCAGCCAAGCCAACCTTATGTCTTATCTGCTTGGCTAGAATGGGGCAGCCTGGCTAAGAGTCCATGAATAAAAAACCTCTCGCCGGTCCTTCCAGGGCACATAGACCTGAATGACATCCTTCAGCTCTTGAATTAGAATAAAAGTGAAGCTATGAGCTAGGCTTGGCGGCTCAGGCCTACTGTTCTATTTACAGGGGACTTGGGGGTTGGGGGCCTGGAACAGAAGGATCACCAGTTCAACTCCTGCTTGGCCTAGAGTGAATTCAGGGCCAGCCTGCACAACTTAGCAAGACCCTGACTCAAAAAAAAAAAAGTTAAAATAAGGCTGGGGATGCAGTTTGGTGGTAAAATGCTTACCTAGCATACAGAGGTTCTAGGTTTAATCCTTGGTAAAGAAAAAACAAAAAAAGAGCTGCAAAGGCCATCCACAGGAGTAGGGCCTTCCAACCACAGGCAGAGAACACGAGATCTTTTTGCTGCTGCTGTTAGAGAGATGGAGTCTGACTGATTGTGTCAGCTGAATGTTCCCCATCTGGCCGCCTCCCTAGAAGCCCACCTTTGTCTTCAGACCACCCACACAAGAAGGCCTTGGCTGGCCAAGGACTGGGCCAGCCTTCTCACCTGTGTCTTTGGGAGGCAGAACATCTCCCTAAGAAAATTGAGGTCTCTAGGCTAATTCCAGAATCTAGATAATGGTCCAGAGTGCTGCAGGCTTGAAAGCAACTCTCTGCCCAATGGTTTTTGTGGACACAGATAATGATGGCATGCTCTAAGAAAGCCCACTAATCCAGAGAGGCCTTGTGAGCAAGCAAGAGCAAGGGGTCCAGGAGTTTCCTGCCTTTTTCCAGGATTAGTGGGCAGATCTACAAAAGACCTGGGACTGTGCCTGTGTACCCTAAAACTTGCGTCTCTGGGTCCTTCCCTCCATCCTTCACTGCATGGGACAGAGCAGATGTCAGAGTGAAAGCAGCAGCCCTGAGACCATTTTCAACAAAACTACATTTATTCACTATTGTTACAAACTCTTAAAATGATGCTCCTTCCCGTTCCCTCCCCTATCCTCCATCACTTCCTTTTCTCCCAACACTTCTACCCTCTAGCTCAATCCTTAGTACCAGCTGGTGAGCAGGAGCCTTTGGCTCTTGGGGTACAGGATAGAGGTAGGGTGAAATCTGAGGCTCCATCTCCCAGAAATGGCTCAATGCCTTTTCTTCCTATTCCTCCTCCAGGTACCTTGTGACTCACACCTCCTCTTCTGAGGCTGTGAGGGACAAGCCACCTCAAGAACCAAGGGCAGCCCTTCAGACTCCCCAGGACCAGGCCCTGGTCTGGGTATCTTAGTCACAGGACCTGGGCCTCCAATGAGAACTTGCTTCTTTGACTTGGCAGCTGGAGGGCTATCAGGGCTGAGGCCCCTTTCTGGGGAGATGAGGGCTGAGAAGCAATTCCAAGGTCAGGAAGCCCTGCATCGGGGCTAGAGCTGTGTGATGGTCTCCAGGGCACCTGATGGTTCTGAGAGGACAGGAAAAAGGATGAACTGGGGACCTCATCCTCATCCTGATTGCTCCTGTTCACTGACTCATGAAGTCCTCCAGTACGAGAGGCTCCTGTGAAATTGGCTGCACATCTGGATCCTGCACTTTGTGGGAGAGTTCCTGGGCCATAGGGAGCAGCAGTGAGCAGGATCGCCCCTAGTGAGGGTGACCCTTGACTTTCCAAGAGGATAGCAACAGGCTTAGGCACCAACATCTCTGCACTGGTGGCCTCTTGACACTGGTCCGAGGAAGCCATCTATGAGGGATAGTCTGTGCACTGACCCTTGTTTGGGGACCACAGTCACCTCTGTTTGCTCTTTGGAAGACGACCAACACAGAGCACTGGAGGCTGCTTGAGGTGAAGCAGAAGTGGTAGGTGCCCACACACCTTGCTCCTTTTCCAAGGTCAGACTGCGCTTTTCCAGCAGCTGCGGGAGGAAATAAGCACATGGATGTCAGCCCCGGGCCAGAGCATTTGTATGGTGATCAAAAAGGAAGAGGTCAGCTGTCTGGGTTTTAGTGACAGAGACTGCGGCTCTCCTGGCTGCCATGCCGGGCTGCTTCCAGTTCTATACCCCAGACCCTCACCTTCTTCTTCTCCACACTCCTATCTCCCATGTAGGAGAATATTCAGGTAGGATACCTTGACTTCTGCAGCGTAGGTTGAGTCAAGTTCACATGGGTCTTAGGAATACAGTCCCTTCCTTTCCCTGTGTGCCTAGTATTGTTCTGTCCCCTAGCCTATTGCGTCCTTCCTTCCTGTCCTGCTGCCTAGTGTCCATCCCTACCCTGTCTTTCAGGTGTCTGGATGTCTCTTCTCTACCTTTCACCCTGCCCTGGTGTCCCATCGTTTCTTGTCTGCCTGTGGCCCATGGTGTTCATCCTCTGCCTACCTGGTTAATAGTGAGTCCTTCTTCCTGCTCCAGCTGCTGTGTTGGAGCTGGCATATCCTCTCTGGTTTCAGGGAAAGGATTTCAGCCATAAATCGGGGGTTTATGATGGCCTCCACCTGTAAACAGAAAGGAGACGTCATGCATTACATGGCCAAGGAGCACTCTAAGCCAAGAGGCCCGCCAGGGAAACAGCAAACAAAGCCCAGCTCATCTTGGTTCATAGCATGTTGTTGGCTAAATCATGATGACAACCATCCAGCAGAAAGAAAAGGAGAAGGAGAGAAAGGGAGGGAGAGAGATGGGGAGAGAAAGAGAGAAAGCAAGTTTAGTTCCAAGGACCTTGGATGCCAGTCCCAGAACCTGGCCACCACCAGATGCAGCTTACCTGTTCAACAAAGTTTTCCTGGGAGCACAGCTCATCAACATAGCTCAGGAGTCCTGGGTCTGGATGTAAGTTGACCCCTTCCTGCTCTGCCTCAGTGTTGTCATCGTCCCCCTTTTCCTCAGGTTCCCTGTGACTGAGTCTGGAAGTCCCTCCAGCCAGTGTATGATGTCCATGTACTTCTGCAGGGCTTCAGGCAAGATCTCTTTGGATACCCTGATCTCTGGTGACTGCTGGTGTCTGGGTGCCAGTAGGTTGACATTCTTCATGGAAGTGTACACTATGATATGGGGGATGATGGTAGATAGGGTAAGCATCCATCCCACCCCTGCCATAGAGGGCAGGGTTCAGGGAAACTGTGCTCCCCAGTGGTAATCCTGGCAACTTGGTCTAAAGACTTGTGAGGAGGCATATTGCATGAGGTAGACGTCTAGGACAGTCATGTGGAGAACAGTTGGCGCCACCATTATTTCAGATCCTCTATAGGACCAGGGCCCAGGTCCTAAGCATGTAGTATACTGGATCCTTGGAGAAGCTGGGGGAGAGAGAAGTAATGGTCTTGGCCTGGTCATCACCCAGTTCAAAACCAAGGCAAATAGGGACCACAGGCTGTAGGGGGCTGTTCAGCCTGCATGACAGATGCCCCACCCTGAAGGAAGATGTCCACATGTGGGACAACAGCCAGTTGTGACTGATTTGGCCTCTGCATAGATACTAGCAGGTATGTGGGATCCCTCACCTGTCTCCTCAGCAACCTCAGGTGCTGGAAACCTTGAAGGATCCTGACTCAGTGGGGCTGAAGGTGGTTGGCACTGGAAGCCTCTCATTATCTCCAACCTCGGATTCTCCATATCCTGTGCTCTCTCAAATTCTGTGAATCTGGGCATGACGGAGGCTCAGTCAGACCTGGATGAAGGACAGGCCAGCACCCACATAAGGAGACTGCTAAAGGCAGGCATGTGGATAAGGTTCTGGGGTGTGCTAGTTCAGTCCCAAACGCTGCTGATCCCAGTGAAGAACCACAGCTCTTGGATCAGACGACATCCCTTAGCATCTTGCAAGAAGTCAAATCAGTCTGAAGTGACCCACCCCTCCAGGCTTATTGTGGCTATGTCCAGAGTCACACAGAAGAACTGACTGCCACGCTGGTCAAGGATAGTGGTGTCCATTGTCAAAAGGCACCTGTTCCAAGTCTAGGAGTTGGCACAAGGCTGGCAAACCTAATCCAACTGTACAACTTCCAGGGCTAAAGGAGACCCCATGGAGGGGCTGAATTATTGGATATCCCTCTTGGCAGTGTTTGGGTGACAAGTTCCCCAGGCCCAACCCCTGCTGAGCAGTCCCTGTTCTCCCTCCACACAGCCTTTTCCCCAGATCCTCTGACTCACTTATCTGCCTTCTCATGAAAGATCATCTTGTCTGAGTTGCTTGTGACTTGCCATTCCTGCAGACCCTTCCACAGTCCCTCCTCCACATTTATGGTGGGCCTCCACTGGGCCAGGGACCGAAGCACTGGTCTGTAATTCATCAGGTCCACTCATAGTCCACAAGCTCCCCTCTATTCCCAGCTACCTCAGCCCAACATGCCCTCTTCTCATGACCCTGTGGAATCTGCCTCCAGGACCCCTCACTGTGCAGCACCCATCAACACCAAGGGCTGTGTCTGTTTCCCTGGACTTCTTATGAGTCCTCCATATCACGGTGCATGCAAGACTGAATGATTTTGTTGCCCAGACTTCATGACCTAATCCCAAAGAGAAGGTCATTGAAAATGGTAGCCAGGTCATTAGGTGGTAGCTAGACTTAGGTCATGAGGGTAGGGTTCCCCTGTTGGGATAGTGTCCTTCTCTGAAGGGTGAAGGGGCCCTTAAGTTCCCACTAAGTCCTATATGATAACACAGCTGAGGCAGCCAGGCAGCTGCCCTCAATAGAACTGAATCTGCCAGGCCCAAGGTCCAGGACAACCTCCAGAATTGTGGCAAGAGTGTCTGTGGTTCCAGTCACCCAGGTCATATAGGCAGTTGAACTGACTGACAAAATGCACAGAATGATCTGGTACCCAGGGTTAAACCCTGGGGCAAGGGTTTACATGTCTGAGGATCAAAATGAAGCAGGAAGCCCAAAGACTTCCTTAGTGAGGGCCATCCAGCTTGTAGCCTTAAGGAATTCCCAAAACAATGGGGGTGGAGCCACATGTACAGGGCTATCATGTCAGGCAACTTTTCCCCACACCCAGTTGTGATGTGCTCTGGACCCTAAGCACTCAAGTCCCTGCTAGAAGGAATCAGAGGCTAGACTCCAAATTGTGGTACAGGAAACACCAGGATCCCTGTCTGACTCATGTTCGGACAAGTTTTCTGGGGGGTTGGTCTGGAAGTTGGCCAGGCCACCCTCTCCATATGGCCCTTGAGGAGGTGGTACTGCATTCACTGTGTATGTGATCTGCACAAGCTGGACAACTGGAAGTCAGACTGGAGGGTGAGGGCCCAGGACCCAGCTCCCCTCCTGGCGATTGGAAGTCGCAATGGCTGGGACATTCACAAAGGTGTTCATAGGAAGTGCGTCATGAGGAGGGGAGCAGGGTGCTCTACATCCCTATCAGGGGCCCCAGGGACACTGCAATTGTGGGGCACCTGAGTGAGGACAATGTTGGCATTGTACACAGGCTGGCTAGGCCTCCCTGGTGTGCCAACTTGCACCATGTTCAGAGGCACAGCTGCACACAGGCCTCAGCCCTCATCTCCTGCCACCCAGGACATCTTAGGCAAGGCTGATGGCACTAAAGGGTTCCTGGGAGAGATCCCTGCAGTCATGAGGGGTACTGGAGGCTCCCAGAATAATTGGGGTGCTGGTTGGGGGGCAGGTGGGAGAACAGGCAGGGTTGTAAATGTAGGCGTGGAGGTGCCAGGGTTGATGCTCATGTTCGGTCCTGGCATCGATGATGCTGTGGAGATAAAGGGGAGGGTGGAGGGAGGACAGGTAAGGACATAGGAAGGAGACTTTTTGACCCTGGTAGTCAGTGGGAAATAGAGTAGGAATCTCAACAAGGCAGGGTCCTGGGAAAGAGGAGATTGTATACTTTGTAAATGTCACAAGAGTCAATTTCCTGCTCAGTTAGTCTAGCTGAGCACTTTTCCAGCAGGGATTTTTTTTTCCCAGTTCACCAAGGTATCCTGATTCCCATCAGTGGAAAGGAACACATCGGCTTTTCCTGCCTCTGGGAGGCTCTTTGGGGAATGCTTGGCAGAAAACTCATCAATGTTCTAGATGTCTTCCCACAAAATGGATCGGTTTGACCTGCCTGGACCACTGTCCCACTAATGATGCTCACCAGGAAGCAAGGTACCAGTGTGGAAGGCCAGTTTCTGACTGCAAGGGCCTCTGTGGAAGTAGCAGGTTTCAAAGATTCCCCCCACCCCTGTGTTCTTTTCACACTCATAAACCTCACTCCTTTTCTATTCTGACATAACAAAACAAAAGCAAACACCAGTGTAAAGCCCCAACCTAGCACCCTGGAACTCTGGAGGTGGTTCTCTTTGCATATCCCACCCATCATGTCATACTGGTCCCTCCCCTAGTACCTCCCACAGGAAACAGTCCTGCTCTAGTGGCTCTAGTGATCATTGGTCCCAACCATGGCTGGGAGCTGTTCCCACAGTATTGGTGTGTAAGGTAGCCATTGGGTTCCCTGATGTCCTTGTCTGCCCATCAGTGCCAGTAGAGGACTGAAAAGGGCCAGGGAATGGTGTGTGGAGGAGCTGTCAAGATTGGTCATAGAAATAAGAGCAATGTGTGATCCTTTTCCTGTGAGCTCCCTGAAGATTCATACATGAGCCAGGTGCCAAGTGTTCAGCAGAGAGCTAGGTCCACAAGGCCTGCACCTAACAACTAGAATACCTGTTGTGCCCCTATGTGGCAGTAATAGCTAAATGTGCTCTAAGCCAAATGCTGCTCTTTAAAGGCTCTGGAAAAGGAAACCAGCCATCTCAGAATCTGCTGTGCTGAAACCAGCAGTACTCCACACCCCTTCCCTGTTGGTCAGAGTTAGCTTCAGTTGTCAACTTGACACCAGGAAGAGGGAACCTCACTTGAGGAATTTTCTTCATCAGATTGGCCTATGGCTATTTTTTTCATTGGCATTTTTTTTTACTTGGAGGAGGGCCTAGCTAACTGTGGGCAGTGCTATTCCTGGGCAGGTGGGACTGGGCTATATAAGAAAGCCAGGAGAAGCAAGCCAGTAAGCAGCTTTCCTCCATGGTATCTGCTTCAGTTCCTGCCTTGACTTCCTACTTTGGCTTTCTTTGATGATAGACTGCGAGCTGTAAGACAAATAAGCCCTTTCTTCCCCAGGTTGCTTTTGTCATGGTGTTTATCCGGCAACAGAAAGGAAGGAAGGTATGGCTTCTTGCCTTAGTCAAATGATGGGCCCCGGGAGCAGCACAGTCCCAAGACTCCACCTCTAAAGCATTATTTTTAAAATAGGTATAATAATTCAAAACAATCACTCATCTTCTTGTTAGTTGAAGTTCCCCTGCTATTCTGCCCCTATAGAATCAAAAACACCAGCTACTCAATAAAAGAAAAGAACCTTCCTTGGATGGGAAGGAGTTGAGGGGCTCTGGAATGCCAGTTGATGGAGTAGCCTCCACCTTCATAGGGAGGACTCCATTAAGCTGTTTCCTACCTACATCATTTGTCTCCACTATTCTCTCCAGATCTAGCATGGTCCAGGCAAATCCCTAAGATCCATAATCACATAGAGCAAATTCCAAGTTCCTGAAGAAATGACCCACTGCTCAGCTGTTGCCCTCAGACCATCCCTGGGCCACCACAGTGACCATCACTCCATATCTATGAACTCTATTGACAGTACCTGCCTCCCCAAGAGAATCAGTCTAGGTTGTCTCACCCTTTCTCCCAACCCAGTACTTCCCTGTGGCATCTTGATTTTTCTCACTGTCTCAGGTCACTTCCATCGGCTTTGTCAGCCTTTCTAGGTGAGATGTCCTTGGGGCAGTCCAGAGCTGCCTCCTTCCCATCCCTTGTCCCAGTCAGTCATTTCCAGTGCCAAATTTAAATTCCCAACAAATTAAAGGTGGCAGGGAGTCAGGTCATATACCCTGGCAATCCAGGCTTACCTTCAGAAGATATCCGCATAGGCTTGGACATTAGCCATGCCTATCTGCTGGGGTCCATGATAAGAAAATTCAGGTAAAGGATGGAGAGAGTAACCAATATGTGACAGATGCTCAAGAGAGCCAGCCACAGCTGGGAAAGTTTGAAAGTAAACAGCTCCAGAATGTGTATATGACATTCTGCAGTGGGGGAGGGGCAGAAAGCAACAGGACTTGGGTGGGGGGCATTCCATGAGGAGCTGTGGCTGGTGGACAGGAATCCTGGGGTCAGTTCAAATGATGCAGCCTTGGAGTTGGTGATTGGGACATGACTGGTATCTGCTTCTAGGCAAATTTAAATTCTTTCCCATAGTCATAGCACCCTGGCTTCGCTGACACCGACTTCCCTCATTTCTTTATCAGTAGGCCTTGTTTTATTCCCCTCATCCTGAAGCCTACATCCCTCCTACAGACGTTATACTCCCAAATGTTTTCACTATATTTTCTCTAAACAAATCAGAAGATACAGTCAGGGGATTCTAAGGGACAGAAGTGAACAGGGTGTTTGAAAATAGGCTCTTCCTGGGAGATCTGTGGATTTACTTCATCTATGGATTTACTGCATATCATTCTCTAGGAAGCAGTCCTTCTGTGTCCAACCAGTACAGTGCTTGAATGTCTGCATGTTTCAGCATGAGGCTTCATTTGCCATCCCTTTAATGGAAGCTGCAGCCCACCAAGGATTCACTCAGTGTGTAGCTCACAGGACCCAAAGCAGAAATCCTATCTCTTTGGATCAGAAAGTATTGAATACTTTTACTGCCAGCAAACATTTGACAATACAAGTATGAGTCTTGCCTCTATCACAAAACCGACAGTCTCACATAAAAACATTAGTAGGCTTATGCAGTCCTGGAACATGTAGTAGGCATTGTACCCCACTGAGCTTCTAGATTCAATAAAGAGTGAGGCCAGATGTGAGGGACAGAAAGAAAATATTCTTGTACTCTCGATGAATGGACTTAGCATTCCTTGAACCCTGATTTTCCAGGTAGTAGAAACCCATCACCTGTAGGGCCTGCCCCCTTGTCTTTCTTATTCTATCTGCACCCACCTTCTTTCTGACTCCATTATAATCCTGGGTCCACTACCTGGGCTTTCTTCTTGCCTACCTCTTAAATACATGTGATCAGGGAATCCAGTTTCCTCAAGGCAGGAACAGCCTGGCTCTGACTTAATGGAGTTTGCCTAACAATTTTTTAATGTTACCATGATACTAGAGGAAAAGCTCAAAACTAGAGGGCATCACTGAATTTTGTATTTTGATCTTTTTGCAAACTGGAGGTGCTCCCTGTCCCAGTGCTGGGCAGGGACATTGAGCAGTAGCTCGTATTAGCCACATGGCCTGGGGATTAAAGGGCCAGTTCTCAATGCTGTGGTGAGTCAATTGCAGTTTTGCGTGCAGTGCTTTGTGTCTTTATAGCCTGTCATGTCTACAAAACACCCAAGTCAAGGAACATGAGATATTTTAAACTCTATAATAAAATAAACTTTATGATGATTTTAGCGTATTATATGCTAGTATATTTTCTGAGCATGGTTAGGGTAGGGCATGCTAGGCTACAGTGCTTTGGTTGTTGGGAATTTGAAATGCGCATTTTACTTTTGGTGCTTTCCATTGATGATGGGTTTATTAGGATATTCTGCATCATAACTGGAGGAGCAGTTGCCCTTTTGTGTGCATGGGTATTATTGTAGCACCCCTTTAAAGCTTGTTTTGATAGTATGTCATTTTATTAGTGTCAAATGATAGGAGACTGTGCTGTTGTGTTGTGACAAGAAAAGATTGTTAGGAAATTGATAGAGATGTGGCGTGACTCTCCAGAGAACCACAACCCATCCTGTTGGGTGGTGACCTCACTTCCCTGACAGGTGTTAGCAGTGTCCCTGCTGGTGGGAGAGGTTTGGAAAGGAAAAGAGGTTGAGATGGACCTGATTGTCAAGTCTTTTTAAAAAAATATATTTTAGCTCTGGGCCCGGTCCCTCCATCACCTCCATCTGCTTCACTGGACCTGCACAACCGGCTGACCTCAGCCTCTCTCCTGGGTAAGTCCAGCGTTCCCTCCGTGCCTTGACTCCCCCAGCCTCATTCACCATCCCATCTCCCCCGCCTGTCTCTCCTCCTAGCCTGGGTACTGTCCCATTCCTTGTCTTGGGACCCAAGACACTGGGGGAACCACCACTGCTTCCTGATCCTTTGCATCCAGACCAACCCAGTTCCTTCTCATGGTGCCCAGGAGCCCTCTGGGCCTGGTCCATCCCTCAGCTCCCTCTGCTTCCCTGGCTGCACAACCAGCCAGCCTCTTTCCTGGACACCAGGGCTGACCTCTCAGCTTCCTGATCCTTTGCATCCAGACCAACCCAGTTCCTCCCTGTAGTCCCCAGGAGACCTTCGGGCCTCTTCCTGCCCCCACCTCCCTTTGCATCTCTAGATGGCATGGCCACCAGCTGCCCGAGACCAGTATTTTTCCTGGGCCCTGCTCCCAGGCCAATCCAACCCCCAAATTCCCGAGGACAACATCTTTCCTGGAGGGATCTAGACCTTAGAAGAAAGCCTGAGAACATCTGATCCTCATCTGACTTGGGCCTCTGTGGGAACTCCTGAAGACAAAATCAATCTGGCCACTCCAATATAAAATCAAAAGAGAGAACCGGAAGCTTAGCTAAACCATCTTTTCATGCCCCAAAAGTAAACTACAAAGGCACATAAAGTTTACAAAAAGAAGCAGACCTAAACTTGAAGGCTTGAGTCTCACACAAGAATCAGAAACTACAAAAGAAATTCACATGTCAAAATCACAGAGAAAAAATAATAACATGAAAAAACAAAATAACATATCCCCACCAAATACCAATAGTCCTCTAGAGGAGTACAATGAGAACCCCCTAGACATAATGCAGGACATGGAACTCAAAAGAACAATTATAAACATGATAAAAGAATTTCAGTAACTTAAAGAACACACAAACAAATCAAAGAACTGAAGGAAGATAGGGACAAACTTCTGAATGAATTCAGAAAAGAGCTAGAAATATAGAAGACTACTCATGCTGAAATAAGGAACGAAGTGAAACACTCAGCAAGCCGATTAGAAGCGACAAGAGAAAGGCTCACCAATAGGATGAATGAAATGGAAAACAGAATATCAAGACTGGAAGATAAAGTGGACGAACTAGACCACTCAAGCAAAGATTATGGAAAATTTAAGAAACCTCAAGAATGGAATATGCAGGAATTGTGTGACACCATAAAAAGACTAAACTTATGAATCATAGGCATACAGGAAGGGAAGAATACCAAGATAATAGCATGAACCAGATCCTCAACAGAATCGTAGAAGAAAATTTCCCAAAATTAAAGAAAGACATGCCCATACAAATACAAGAAGCATATAGAACACGAAACAGACAGGACCAGAAAAGATATTCTCAACGGCACATCATAGTAAAAATACTACACATACAAAACAAAGAGACAATTCTGAAAGCTGCTAAAGAGAAACAACAAGTCACATATAAAGGAAACCCCATTAGGATTACTACTCACTTTTCAGTGCAAACTATGAAAGCCAGAGGAGCCTGGACCAAAGCATTCCCAGTTTTAAATGACCACAGATGCCAACAAAAAGATTACTATACCCAGCCAAAATGTCTATTATAGTCAAAGGGGAAAGAAAAATCTTCCATGAGATAAATAGGCTGAAGGAATTCATGTCCATAAAACCAGCCCTTCAGAGAGCTCTGGAATCAATACAAAGACCTGAAGAAAGGAATGACTACATCCAAGGGGTTGCAGAAAGAAATTCAATGAAGGTATAACTGTGGAAAAGTGCAGCTATATCAGGTATGTAAACAGAAATAA